CCTCCTGTAGACCTATTTTTAGATAGATTGTTCTGACTATTTTTGATATAGTTTTAGACTACTCTTCTGACTATGTTCAGATCTACTCCTCCTGCAGAGGGACATGCCCGGCTTCGAACCAGCGCTCGGAGGCCCCCCCCCCTGCCTCCGCAGGAGGCCGCGGCCCCCCTTGGCGCACGCGGCGGGGGCGTGTCCATCATCCCCCCCGCCTCCTCCCCCTCCTCCTCCCCCTCCTCCTCCTCCTCCTCCTCCTCCTCCTCCTCCTCCTCCTCCTCCTTCCTCCTCCTCCTCCTCCTCCTCCTCCTCCTCCTCCTCCTCCTCCTCCTCCTCCTCCTCCGCCGTGTGCCTGGTCACTCAAAAGGAGCACCCTTCTCCGGGCACCGTTCTTCGGGGCCCCCAATCCGCCAGTCAGCCCGCGGGGCAAGGACCCATCGGTCGGGAGAAGTGGGCAGAGACATGACGTAGGAAGGCGGATGAATCGGGGATGGACAGACCCCCCTTCAGCAAAACGTGGTTCAGTGAAAACGACCTGAGGCCCAAACCTGGCGGGCGCAAGCCTGGAAAATGACGGCCACGGCACCCTCTCGAGAACCGAAAACGGACACTTCACTAATCGACGTGTCACTGTGAGGGGTTCTGTCCAGCCCCGGATGAAGCACTGGATAAGGTTCAGGCCCTCCCAGAGAGTGACGGAACACATCAAGACCGTGCCAACTCTTGAAGTAGGAAGGCGCTGGAAGCAGATCGGGATACGGGGAATCCAACAATACCTACTTTAAACGACCGATGGGTAACTAGTTTCTCATGTATTGAAGGGGGGGTATGAAAGACCTGTTGCGGCTACGTGTGGCCCATCCAAAGTCCGAGGATATCCATACATCCACCGCCTGCCGAGGTCTCCAAAGATCCATCCCCCTGGCGCTGGTGATGGAGACATCCCCGCCTCGAGCTGCGCGCCCACTCTGGAGGCGGACAGCAACGAGGGCCATGACCAAGACGGATCGCGGCAACGTCCGCTGCCGACCGGGGTCACCACCCATCTCGATCACCGTCGACTCGTGGATCGCCCTGGCAAAATCGCGACGGCCGCCACGGACAGCGACCTAGATCGGCGTCGACACGAAGTCGTGACGCCCTGCCCACGGACATCGTGCTTCCTCCCTCGACTGGTGAGGCCTCGGGCTGCGCAGGGACAGCCCCATTGTTAGACGAGCGCGTTCCACCACTCGCAAAGTAACTACTCGCAAATGGATCCGCCGCGGGGGATCTACGTTTGCGAGTAGGCACTTAGCAAGTAGTGGGACGCGCTCGGTGAATTGTAGTCCTGGCTGCGGCCACCCGAGCCCAGGGGGGGGGAATGGAGGCCTCGCATGACGGTGACTCGGGCGGGGTGGGGCACGTCAGGGCTGGGGTGTGCTGCGATCGCATTGGTACGCACGCGAGTGCCAACATGTGGGGGCTGGGTCCCCCCCCCACCCATGTGTATGATCGTTACGGTTACCCGCGGGTGGGCCGGGTAACGGCCGTTACGCGGCAGAGATGCATTTACTCGACGCGGGGCTCCCCATGTGTTCATCTCAGTCTCTGGCACGTGTCGCGCTGTGAGTGTCATGCTGCGAGCGTTTTGGCGCGAAATCGAGTCCGAGTGCACGACGGATACGACGACGACGACGACGACGACGACGACGACGGCGACGACGACGACGACGACGACTCACAGACAGACAGGCGGTGGGCAGGCCCCTCTCCTTCGTGTCGCCATCCTCCTCCTCGTCGCACCCCCTCCCCCTCTCCTTCTCACTCCTCCCTTCCCCCTTGTCCTGCCTCCTCCCTATAGTCGAGGCGTTGACCTAAGGAACCCTAAATAAGGAACGAGGCCCTTATTTTCCATAGCATAAACTTCGATTTCCCATCGAAAGCATAAGGAAAACCTGAGGCAAGCTGCAAAACAACTAAGGAACACCGAGCCCCTCCCCAACGAAAAGGGTTCCTTCTTCAGGGCCCCGACTGTACTTCTCCAGCGCCTCGCTCGGGACATCCTCGGAATCTGCTCCCCGGCGGCTCCTCCTTGAGTCCTTGGGGTCCTCCTGAAACCAGCACTTCGCTAACAGCATCCTCACCATCTGCCCTGACAAAAAAAACATATCACACCAGAGGAAAATCCCAATCAATGGCTTTCGCTGAGGAGATCGACCAGGAACCCGGGAGCCCGGGAACCCAAGACCCACCGAAATCGGTCCGGAACCAATAACCGGGAACCCGGGAACCGGGAACCCAGGAACCCGGGAACCCGGCCTGCTACCAACATCGGCGGGAACCTTCGCCAAATCTGCGAACTTCCGCTACAGTAGGACTCGATTGGACAGGACACGCGAGAGGACACAAGACCCTTCCGAGGGCCACATTGCCGCAGGACTGTAGGCAGCATGGGTCGCGAGACACAGGGCACAAGGGCACCATTGATTTGGCAAGGTCGACCTGTCAATCCAGGCCGACTGTAGAACCCCTCCCGTGCAAGCACTGATTGGGGAAAAAAGGCAGGGTGACCGCCTGACAAAAATCGGGAGCGGCAAAGAGGGGGGTGTCCAAGAGGGGGGGGTGCAAATCATGGCCGGCGGCATGTGCGCGGCCCAGGGGGGGGGGGGGGCAGGGACGTAATGAAACATAGAACAAGAAGAGGCGCCATGAGATCTGGGAGATATCATGGCCCCCGCCATGATATCCACCCCCCCTAGTCATCACCCCCCTCGTTTCCGCCCCCGTAAAGAAGAGACAGGCCAACTGGAAGGCAGGCGAGCCATGAGCCGGGCAGACCGCCCGAGACCACCCGCCGGTGGGCGCGCGAGCGGGGCCCGGGGCGGCTCCCCCAGCGGTTGTTTGCTGCAGCCAGCAGCCGGGCCACCGCAGGCGAGCAAGCCGACTGAGGCATCCCCGCATTCTTCGAGTGGGGGATCGACTACGTAATTGATTGATTTGCTCCGGAAGAGATTCTTCTTCTCGGATCCACGGGCAATTCGTAGAACCTTCGCAGACCTAGGAATGGACGACGTGTTCTTGTTGAAGAGCCGACGCGACAATTAATTCTGGAGTAAATCAAGTATGTAGTCGATCCCCCAGTCGGATTCTTGTGACAGTTTTGTAAGTCATTGTTTTGCCACTCGGGGCGGGCCCCCAAACTCCCCCTCCCCCTCCCCCCATGGAGTGGACCTTGGCTGTTTGTTGGCGCCTGCTTCGAGCGGGTGGCCTCCCCCACAGTGGACGCACTGTTCCAAACAGCCGCGCGGAGCAGAGGTCCGGGGCCAGACGCCCCCCCATCCCCCCCCCTTCCGCCCAATGTCGAAACGCTGAAAAACAAAACGTTGACCTGGTCTGACCGCAAAGGATGAGGATGAGGATGACCAGAATCATCATCATCATCATCATCATCATCATCATCATCATCATCATCATCATCATCATCATCATCATCATCATCATCATCATCATCATCATCATCATCCTCATCATCCTCATCCTCATCCTCATCCTCATCCTCATCCTCATCCTCATCCTCATCCTCATCCTCATCATCATCATCATCATCATCATCATCATCATCATCATCATCATCATCATCATCATCATCATCCTCATCCTCATCCTCATCCTCATCCTCATCCTCATCCTCATCCTCTCATCCTCTCATCCTCATCCTCATCCTCTCATCCTCATCCTCATCCTCATCCTCATCCTCGCCTTCCCTGGCACTGCGGCACGAAACCAGCAGATCTTCTGCGACATTCTCACAATGAGCTCTGACAGCGGACGAGTCTGACTGGGACATCCCCGGTCTGGCTGCGCCCCGGGCACTGCAACCACCCCTGGCGGCTCCTTCCTGGATGCTGCCCCTGACAAGGCGCCCGAGGCATCCTCACACATAGCACAGCTCTGACAGCGAAAGGAGTCTGGGCCACCAAACTGGCAAACCGCCCCAGACATCCCCACAACCTGGCCGAGAACGGAGCCGTGCGACCACGACTGGCGACTCCCCCTCTAAGACTACGGTGCCGACACCAGCAGATCGCTGGAGGCAGCCTCACCATCCGCTCCGAGGGCGGACGAGGAGGAGGAGGAGAGGAGGAGGAGGAGGAGGAGGAGGAGGAGGAGGAGGAGGAGGAGGAGGGAAGGAGGAGGGAAGGAGGAGGAGGAGGAGGAGGAGGAGAAGGAGGAGGAGAGGAAGAGGAGGAGAAGGAGGAGGAGGAGGAGGGCCGCGAACGGAACGGGCATGTAGAACACCCCGTGGCGGCTCGTCCCCTGGCGGTGCTGCAGCCGGCAGTCCGCCGGATACATCCTCAGTCTGCCGTGAGAGGGAGTCTGGGCTGCCAAACAGGCGAGCGCCTCGCTCGAGGCATCCTCGGAAGAGGTGTGAGCGAATCGGAGTGTGTGAGTAAGTCTGAATAGAAGTGGGTCTGAGTGCGAGCGAGTCTGGGTGCGAGTACGGAAGTCTGAGCGTGAGCACGAGTGGACCTGAGTGCGAGTGAGCTTGAGCGTGGGTGAGTCTGAGTGTGAGACAGTCTAAGAGAGAGAGAGAGAGTGAGTCTGCGCATGAGTGAGTCCGAGTGCGGATGTACAAGTCTGAGCGTGAGCGAGCCCAAGTGTGAGTAAGTCTGAGTTTGTGTGAGTGAGTCTGAGTGTGACGAGTGAGCCTGATAATGAACGAATTTGAGCGAGGTCGAGGAGGAGCAGGGAGGAGAAGAGAGCAGGTCAATCGGAACCACCTGAGACATGACAAAAAACAACAATCTTAGGACCTGGGGGATCACAACTTGGGAAAGCAAAAGGTGCCGATGCCGCTACTCCCCGGACCTCTCCTGGGGCGCCCTCTGACCAGGACTCCAAGGCGAATCCAGCGGTGGCGATGAGCGCCTCCCAGGAGGCCCGAAAAAGGAGAGCACCGACGGAGAGCTGGCGGTACGGGTGCGTCTTCCTCCTCCGAGAGGGGGCGCTCGCGTGCGCAGGGCCTTCGGCTCCAGCACCAGGCCGCCCGTGTACTCGGCCTTGCCGCGGCGTGGCGCCGCGCCCCCGGCAGCCTGCGGGGGGCGCGCCGGGGCGGCGGCGAACGACGGCGGCGGCGGCTGAGCACCGGCCACTGCGCGAGGGCGCCCCGCGGCTGAGCATCGTCTGCCGCGGGAGCGACTGAGCATCGTCTGCCGCGGCGATCGGCGGTCGGACGTCCATTCCCTGTGTTTATGTTCGGTTTCGTGCGTGTTTTTTTTTTCGCCAGATGATCCAGATGATCCAGTTCGATGGCACTCGCCGGAGGAAAACTGCACACGTCCGAGCGATGCCGAGGATAGGGCGGGGGGGGGCCTGGCATGGGATGGGGGGTGCGGTGGGGGGGGGACACCTCGACCTGGACTCGGCGATGTGCAATCCCAGGCTCCAGGCAGGCCCACGTGCCCCCCCAAGTGATGGGATGGGTCGCAGGGAGCCTTTGGGCCCCCGTCGTCCCACCCCGATGGGATGGGGGGGGCGACGACGACGACGACGACGACGACGACGACGACGACGACGACGACGGCGACGACGACGACGACGACAAGGACGACGGCGACGGCGACGACGGCAACGACGACGACGACGGCGACTACGACGACGACGACGACGACGACGACGACGACGACGACGACGACGACGGCGGTGGCGGCGGCGGCGCCGGCGGCGGCGACCTCCAAGGCCCTCCGACGACGACGGCGGCGGCGACGACGACGACCTCCGGAGGTCTCCCGCAGCACCACCGCACCACGCCACGCACGCCGCACCCACTGCACGACGCCGCACCCGCAGCGGGGGGGGCCATCGCGCGCCCAGGAGCGGTGCAGACGCCTGCCTGGCCGAGCCAGGAGGGCGTGTGCACCGCTCCTTGGGCCCAGGGTGGGCCAGGCCTGGGGCGGTGGATCCGTGTAGATCTCGTCGCCCGAGGTCAAGATAGGGGGCCACAGGTGAACCCTACCCCTACCCCCCACGATTTCTGAGGGGGAGGGTAGGGTTCACTTCGCTCGGGAGCTCCCGAACGAAGTGAACCCCACCCTCCACCTCAGAAATCGTGGGGGGTAGGGCTAGGGTTCACATGTGGCCCCCTAAAGACGCCGGAGGCCTCGGAACCCATAGAAGCCCGCAGCTTCTGACTTTTCCGCGGTTACACAGATGTCTGAGCAGGGCGGCCTGCCCTCTTGGTTGGGGCGTCCGCGGCGCTGCAGCGTGAAACGTGGGACTGAAACTGCCAGGCAGCGCGACGTCTGCCAGCGAGGCGCCCCCAAGTGTGCACGCCCAGACTAGGGACGGGAAGTGTGGATACGATGACCAGCAAGAGCTGCTGTCCTCCAGAACCCTCCTGACAACAGTCTTCGTTATGTTGACAGCAAGTTCTGCCCAGTTGAACATCGAGTGCAGCCAACTCCACGGGCATTGCTTTCAAAAATCAAGACTTACTGACCGGTGGACCCCGAAGAACAACACATCTTGCTCC